GTTGTAGATTGTGGCTTCAAATGTTCAGAAAATCCAATATTTTGCATGACAGTGAAATTTCAATGTTGCAACGGACAGTTCCAGCAACTGCACAACTTCCAGTGGTGAGGCAACACTACTCTGTTAAAATTTACGGGTACATGGAAGTATGCAGAGTACATTGTGTATCAAAGGAAGTGTCCTTATTGTGACAGTGATTTGCTTTTTATTTGGTTTATTTGGCTTGTTTTCAGCACCAGGTCAAATAGGATGCAGGTAGTGGTTTGCCAATCTCATGCTTCACTGCTATTACACTATCATTTTAAACCTACAGCACAACCTGGACGATGGGTTTTTACCTCACCACGGGCAGTGGTCAGATAGTTGCAGACCAGTCTCTTGGCTTGGATGATTGGAGCCTAACAGGAAAGTCAAAATAGCGTTACTGGGCTTTGATGTAAATTAAAAGAAAGAAGAAAACACATCAAAAACATGAATTTAGTTGAACTTATTGACATCAGAGCACCGAAATTACCCAGAGTAGCTCTTCCTTTATGGGAGCTGCAGCAAAAATGCTGCACACATAGATGAATGCCCCAAAATGGCCTATTCAATGCACACATTTCATTGTTTAGTCATTAAGTTTTTGACACTCAGAAGCAGTTTACTTTGATTTCCCCTCACGCCAACTCACACCCTTACTCAACCTCCAGTTTCTCAATGGGAAGAGTGTAGATGTAGTAAACCGTCATGTTCCCTCAGTTGGTGACTTTCCAGCTTTGCTTAATCTGACTTGCTTAGGATAAGAAATTAGAAGCAGGTTCAGATTTTTTGTTTGTTTCTTCTCAATTCTGTGTGAGATCAAAAGATCTACAGAAGGTGGAAAATGCCCACTGTAACATCTGTGTTACACTACTGGATTTGGATGTCTGCCTGCCTTCTCGTGCCTGTGTCTACATGTGAGTTGCATATCGGTTCGTTTTATGTGTGTCTGCATCAGCGGCATTTGCTTAAGTCATACTAGGACATAGATATATAGATATAAATGTAGCATTTAGACTTGTGAAAAGGATCTCTGCTGTAGCCATCTGGCTCAGGGGGTCTCTGTGTGGGCTATGACATGTTCTGAAATAATAAGAAAGACACTTTTGGCAGCCTAAACACTACCGTTTTGTCCTAAGTGATCATATTTGAACTACAGGGTGGAGTGCTAAATTATCAGGCACTCATATCTAATTAAATCAAGTAAGAGATTGAATTTATAAAAAAAAAAAAAAAACACACACACACACCACACACCAAAAATTTCACTGGACAAAACTAAAGCACACTTTCTCGGATGGTCTGAACCAGACCGCAGGTCATACCATCGATAATCCATGAAAAATGCTCTAAACACCCTAATAAATGTGGGTCAGTGGCGGTGAAGTCCACTACACTGTTCTCACGGGAACGCAATGTTTCCTACCTACAAGTGCGCAAATAACTGTAAACCTCGGCCACAACAACCAGAGCTCCAGTGGTACATTGTTGTGTAACCTACAATTCTAACAGAAGATTAGGGGGACCCGCATCAAGCTTTCATGGAAAGAAATTAAAAACACCAACTTGGACCAAGCACTGGCAGCTTCAGGTTTGCTGAGGAATACCTTATTGCCCACACCTGAGCTTATGAAAGGAGCAAAGACCAGCTCCGCCCACCAGGGGCGGTTCCCAGACTCAGGTCTCACCTGTCACACATGCCTCTTACTGCATTATCCAAGTTTGTTTTTATTGAGACATATATATAGAAACTAATAAAAAATTGTAGTCAGCTGCACCCAGTTTATTTCATCTGTAAAGCTAGACATTTTAACATGATGGGCATTGACTCTCTTGGTCAGGAGATGACCTGTTGGTTCTTGTGCTTATTTTCATGTCGGCCAGTCAAGCATTTTTGCAATCTGGTGCGTTGCACCATGCATGAGTGATCGTGTTGATTTTTACTGCCAGTGTAATTATCTTCCATTACCGAGACACACAGATATACAGAGGGAGACTCCAGAGACTTCCCTTTTTGGAAAGTTATTTAACATATTGAAAGCTTGAAACCTTGAAACCTTGGAAGAGCTTCTGAAAGCATGGCCTCTAATTTATACACATTTTGGTCAGAGATAACTTCCATGGTCTCGTGGCCTAACTTGTTTAATCCCCTTGATAAGGTCAGGCGGGTGGTCATTAACAGCAACATGGCATTCATTATGAAGTCCCCAAGTATTGCAAAATATTGCTAAAAGTACATGTGGTGGGACGTCCCCACACCGGCCTCTGTGGAAGTTGGAGTGAGAGTTGCACTTTGACCTGATTTAACTTATGTGGTCTGTGTTTGCTCTCTTTCAGTCTCATTAAGCGCAACAGTTGAATCTGGAATCAATGTCAATCTGTCATGTTTTGCTTCTGTCTATGACAACAACAACATCACCGCTGTACAGTGGAGCAGAAGTGACTTGGAGCCAGAATATGTCCTTTTGTATCAGGATGAGCAGTTTGTTACACACAACCAGCATCCATCCTTTGTGAACTGGGTGGATCTGCAGGACAGACAGATGGAGGATGGAGACGTGTCTTTGATTCTGAAGGATGTGACGACTGCTGATAATGGAACATATGAGTGTCGTGTCCTGTTGACGGGAACAAACCGTGAAAAGAGAGCCTTTTTCAAGGGTAACCCCATCTGCAGTGTAAACCTGAGAGTTGATCCTCCAGGTGAGTGAGTAGAGTTGAGTGTGTGTGTGATCAGAGGTGAAGCTGCTTCCTGGTTGTTGATGTTTGTTTCTAAAGATGTTGTTGATGAGACTTTGTAGAAAGCAGCTGGTCTGAGTGATGTGATCAGAGTGCAGTAGATAATGTCTGACAGCAGTTTGAAGAGGAAATGGATTCTGTTCTGTTCTTCACTCATCACCTACCTGACAGCTGACACCTCACACCTGTTTCTCTCCTGCAGGTCAGCCGGACATTCACAAAAAGGATGGAGGGTTCAAAATTAGAGTTGTTATACATCCAGCTAGTTTGACAGTTTTTATTTTGCTTGTTGTTGGTGCAATTGTTGGCTGTGTGAGCTACAGAAAATATAGACAACGGCAGAGTCAAAGTTCTTAGTCTCAGAGCTTTAAACAGCTGAAGTGTGAGTCAACACATCCTGAATTTGGTGATCAGAACATTTTCTTTATTTGGGCATGTTAAGAACTTGTAAAAGAACTTCATCATGATGAAAAATAAGAATAATAAAGATTTCTTCATCTCAAAATATGATATGATGAGTTTTTGATTTTGAACATCAAGTATAAAACATTTTGGATTGATTGATTGATTATACTTTATTCATCCCGAGGGAAATTGGGTTAAGGCTGCCAGCCGTGCCAGCGCCGTTGACTGACGTTATTTTTGGTGTGTCATCCTTTCAGTCTTCCTACCATTTCAACCCTCCTACACTATATACACGAGCTCGTGAACTCCTGTAGGTATCACAATTGTGTTTCTGCTTTTTATGCTCCGCACTGGAGGTGCCATATAACATCTGATGTTAGCAACTATGCAGGTTGGGCCTGGTTAGTAGCTGTGTGACTGAGTATTTACAGAAGACATTTTGAGGCTCTCCTATTGGTTGCTGTAGAGTTTCTTTCATATCAGATGCAAAACAGCTCCTGCACCTTTACATTGTTAGGTTAGTCACCTTTCACTGGTGCAGACACAGAGTTGTACAGCTAGTTGGTGCACTTTAGTGTCAGTAGATGGCAGCACTAGATATTGGTTTATTGTTGAGATGGTGGTCAGAGCGGCCAGAGCTGGTGCCACATCCAAGAATCACTTTTGCTGCTAAATCAGCTCATTAAACTCTACTTTAAAACCACGACTTCACATCTGTTACCTAAATGCTAAATGGTGATATTACAAATACTGCTTTTCTTATTGCAACAAAGAAAACCCTGCATGTGCGTTCTGCACATCTGCCCGCCACTCACACTGCTATGACAGAAACACTTTAACAGGTGTTTACTTTATTATTTCACAAATGCATGACTAGTGCAAGAGAGCAGTTGCTATTTTAATGAGAGCTGACAATAAGAAGGAACTTGAAGAAACTACACTAACTTGTAATAACATCTGTGTACGACAGCTGCAGGAGCACTGGGCTGTTGATGTGCTGCTGTGAAGGTAAGACATTAAAAAATGAGTTGGAATCTGCTCATTATGTATCTATTAGACTTGTAACTAGCTGATCATTTGAAAAAGACACTCAGCTCTATTTGTTTGAAACATCAGATGTAACCGATTTCTTTTTTTGGGACCTTGGAGAGTGTAACAGACTTTGAACCACAGACAGCAAACTGCACGCCAGCTAAGATGCGGTGTACAGCTTCTTAAGTTAAACGTCATCTCCCAGTGCAGCCATCCATAGCCCAACAGACTTCATTTCCTATCACGAACACGTACGCACTTTGTTCTGACTTTTTTTTCTCTGAAGTTTCCAGCCACTGAATAATGCTCCTGCTGTTTATAGTGTGCAGCTGTGGCGTGTATCAGTTAGCATCAGACATCTTTCTGAAACCCACAGAACCACACGAGAACAAAAGTGAGACCAAAGTTTATTGATTCTGCAGAAAAACTAGATCACTGCTGTGGAGCAGACAGCACGGTCTCCCACTTAGAAATTAAATAGATCGATAGAAAGATCAATAGGGGATCATATACAGTGCATTCCATTACTGCATTAATGCATTACATACTATACATACTCTTGATAAGGCAAGCGTGCTGGCTGTGTAAGGTGATGAGAAAAACACAGGTCTTATGGGTCGGTTGGACCAGTAGCTGGAAGTCATCGGCTGGACTGGTGGGAATCTTCAGTACAGAGCTCTGGCTTCACAATCTGAACACACAGTTTAAAACATCATGAGAAACAATAAGCACCTGTGCACAAACCTGGCCCGTCTGTTATATTCATATACAGAAAGTGAGGAACACGTCAAACCAGTTACAGTTAAGACGTATCTTAACGAAAGGTTTCAATGTCTAAAGTCTCTCAGGCGCAAACCTGCATTTTAAGTATTAATCACCCTAACACACTGAATTATGAATACTATAAACAGTATATGTGAAACTTCAGATCACACAGCATCTGCAGGTGCACCCCCTGCTCTTTGATACATTTCAACCACAAGATACCGAAGGTCTCACGCAGTTTACAGGAACAACATATAACAGGTGGAGACTGTTGCTGTGGGTTTTTACTCTGACAAAAGGTCAATATTCTGTATCTAGGTCTCCTTTGTTTGCTACGTGTCTTTCTATATGTTTTTATAGAGCAACATCCATCCCAGAAAACAATTGAAACATGAACATTGTAACATGTCGTGCATTTGTTTGTCTGAGGTTGTATTTAAATCATTTTTAAACCTACTAAGGGGCGGATCTGCTAATGATGTCAGTGTTAATTTAAACCGATGAGCTCACCGTGCTTGGATCACGTGACTTACATTTTTCTTTTTTAACATTTTTTAAACTGGAAGATACAAAATAAGCTCATCAAAATAAACTGTCTGAGAAGTATGAACCAATCTTCCCACACAGGACAAAAAAATGAAAAACAGGCGGATGCTGCTGCTGTGGTTTTACAGTGAGAAAACGTCATTTTCACACCTTGCACATCCTATCTCACTTTTACCTTTAGATCAGCTTGGATTTTTCTATTCTATTGTTTTTTTCTTTTCTGCACATGTGCAGAGCCAAACAAGTGTGATGTTGACAAGTGTGATGTGATGCAGAGCCGTGCTGTTAGAATAGAACCAGGAAAATCCAAAAGAAGAGCGTGAAAATCAAAGGAGTGCATAAGAGAGTGTAAATGTTGGCCTCATGACAATCTGAGGTGCTTAATTTTCTTCTGCATTTCCTTCCAGCTTTACTCTGAGTCTACATCACTTCCTGTACTTAACATTGTTCTTTGACTTAAACTTTACAGCTTTTATGAGCAAGTCTCAAAGTCTGACTTGACCAGAGAGCCGCAGACAGCTCACTTAGTCTCTTTGGTGAATGGTAATCAAACTGGTTCTTATACACTTGAGTACTCAGAGCACTTTATACAAAATACATCATTCATCCATTCATACAAGCACTTGTTTTCTATTGATTTAAAATTGATTTTATCCCTTAGCTGTATTATATAAAAGGAAGTGTGAAATCAATAGTTTAATTAATTAGTGTAAATTGACATGGGAGGTCTTTATGAGAAGGAAAATCTGAAATGCTTATGCCAACACAGTTGTCCAACATTTCTGCTCTCCTTCAAATGTTTCAAAGTCATCCAATGAGTCAGATTAGAGTCTTTACATATTCTGGCCTCTGAGGCTTATGTTTGACACCACTGGTTTAAACTGGAATGCCAGGAATAGCTGGAATTGTTCTGAGCGTTAAGACAAAGAGGAGCAGCTGTACCTGGTCTTTGTTTATATGGGTTTCTCTTTAATCTTGATTTCTGCATAACAGATGTCTTCTGTCCTCACTGCTGAGTAGACGGCAGCTAAAGCGCTCTCTGCACAATGAAACACACAGAGAGGACATCAGTGCACATGGTCATAGAGACACTACTGCCATTACATTAATCATTCAGATTATTTATTGTGGGGAAAGTAATTATGATTTTCCTGCTGAATTTGTAAGTATTATTGTAGCTCCCACAGATTGACCCATGAAAGCTTTGAATGAATGAATGAATCAACAAATCCACGAACTAATCAATCAGTTTGTTCTATGTATAAAGCAGATAAGGATGTTATAAAGTTTAGATATTTGCTGTAATTATTCATTCAATTTATGTTATTTTATTCTATTTAATTTGTATGATTTATATCTTGCTGCTTTATTTTATATATTGCGTTTATATCTTACACTCTTGCCATTATGGTGCACTGATTGAATTTTATATATTCCTTTAACTTTTCTTTAGTCTTTTTTTTACACTGAGGTGAGTGAGAAACAGTATTTGAGTTATCCTGTGTGTCCAAGTAGAGAGCTGACAATAAAACATTTTTGAATCCTGAATTTTTGAAAAGCCTGAAAGTCGGAGTCTCACCTTGAAGCTTCCTGTCAACATATCGTTCCACCAAAACAATCAGTAAGACCACTAGAGCTATGACACAGAGTGTCCCAGCAGTCAGCAACACCGGGAGAAGAGGAGAGGAAGCGGCAGGAAAGGTCAAGGTGGTCGAGGTGGTTTTAGGTGGAGGTGTGGCTGTAGATGGAAGTGTGGATGTAGGTGGACGTGTGGATGTAGGTGGAGGTGTGGTGGTGTGTTTCTCTGAAATAAAGCAAACACAGTCATTAAGTTGTCGTCACATTGTGAATGTTGAACCTGCAGAAACACAGACAGGTGAGTGTGTCACCTGTGACAGTGATCCAGCTGGATGGAGACTCTCCATGACCGCTGATGTCACACTTGTAGAGGCCTTCATCAGACCTGGAAACATGCTGGATGGTCATGTGACCTGTAGGCTGCTTCCTGATGAGGGAGCCATCTTTATAGAAAGCAGCTGGGAGGTTGGAGGGAGTGGTCTTTGTTTTACAGAGCAGAGTGACGTCATCTCCCTCCATCACAGGGAGGACAGGACTCTGCAGGATCACTGATCCACCTCAACACAGAGACAAACTACAGCATTTCATCCATTTACACACAGCTTCATCAACACTAACTCCACACACTCAGCTTACCAGTGACTGTCAGGTTAACCATGTTACTGATGGGACCTTCTCTGGACTCACACCAGTAAACTCCAGTGTCCCACAGGACGATGCTGCTTGTGGTACAGGAAGAACCAGCTGATGTTCCCCACTCCTCACACTCAGCTCTGGTGTCTGTGCTTGTGTTTCTCCTCAGAGTCCATCCAGCAGAGCTGTCGTCCTCCTCACAGCTCAGAGTCACAGACTCATATTCAAAGACCTGAGAGCTGCTGGGACTCACAGTCAGACGAGCTGTGAGTGTTAAAAATAAGCTTTTCATTAATTTCAAAAGTAATATAAATTATTGTTTTGATGAAATCAGCCTATAGAATGAAAATAAGATTTAAATGCGCTATAGACAAGCATCTACACACCAGATATTTCTGATTCTGATCACAGTTTTAGCACTTTATATTTAAAAAAAGACGTTTACTGACCTTGGTTTGTTGTCCAGTAAAACACCGATGTCAGAACTAAGGAGAAATTACAATTAGGTTAGTATAGAATAAAGACTAAAGAATAAATGACTGTAGATAATTATTATGTTATAGATAACTATGAAACTCTGGGAAAATGCTGGTTTTGCTACAAGTGATGTCACGTATGGAGTGGGATGATTAGAGCAGGATGATTATGTTAGTTTAAATGAATCAACACTTCTGAGTCACACTAAATGTCAGAATCCTCGAAGCAGAGGTCGAGGAGGGGGTGTGAGAACAATTTAAGGAACGTTGTGCAAAAACTCTTCTTCGTCTTTCATGTAAATTCATAGTTAGATTTAAAAGTCGATAATAATGAATATATAGAAATAAATCTTTGCAGTATCATTTCCCCTGTAAATGTCACACAAAACTGTCTCTCAGTCTTTTTGCACTATTAGGGTTTTTTTTCTCACTGTACTGGTGGCATAAAGAGCACTACCATAACTTGGTGCTTTTATTCTTCTTTTTCATGCTTTTTCCTTCATCACTTTTGATTAACAGAACAGAAAGTAAAAGTTCAACATTTAAAACAAAGAAAAACCAAAAAATTCATGCTTTACTCACAGAGCAGACATAGTACAGACGCTTCCTTCATCGTCCTCTTAACTGACGTGACCTTTTGTTCCTTTTTGTTATAGAGACAAGGTAAACCCCACCCTCTTCACCAGCTTGTCTTTTTTCTATATGTGTAAGATGTGTGTCAAATATAAATTAAAACAAAAAATCTTTCAATTCAAATTGTAGTTTAAAAGTTATTTGACTGAAAAGAGTACAAAGCTGCACTTTCAATAATTTAACCGCTTTTAGTGTTTGAAAATGTGTTGTGTTGTTTGGCAGCTTCTCTTTAGCAACACTTTAACAATGAAGAGCTGGGAGAATAGGGATGCAGTGGTGAAAATTTCCCAGTCTTCCCTGATATGCAGTTTTAGCTGTTGAGCATAGTGGGGTTCTTGGAGACTGTTGCCCACAAAGACGCTTGCGCAGGCTGTCACCGCACCAGCAGCAGAATCATTGATACGAAACAGGATGGGTCCGTGCTTTACCTTGTTTACATCAAATTCTGACCCTACCGTCTAAATCTCTCAGTATATATTGAAACTAACCAGACCAGGCAGTGTTTTTAGAATCTTTTATTTACATTTGGTTAGTGAATGTGTGAATTGCAGCCTCGGTTTCCTGTTGTTAGCTGACAGGAGTTTCAGCTGGTGTGGTTTCTGCTGCTACAGAATCTCCTTCACATGCGGTGCATTCAGAGAACAGCAAGTATCATTTTGTTGTAACGAGTGGTTGTTCGAGTCACTTTTGCCTTCCTTTCATCTCAAAATATAAAAAAGGGGTGTTGCACATTCATTATGCAAGTTAGTGACCTTTCACTCGTGCAGACTCAGTGTTGGAGGGCTTGTTGGTGCACTTTAGGGTCAGTAGATGGCAGCACCAGACTATGGTTCCTTGGGACCCGTCACTCAGGAGGACGTGGCTGATTTTTCTTTTTTTTCCCCCCCATTGACTCATCACACGCAAGAAAACTTGCACACACAGACACACACGCCTGGTGCTAAAACTCACCCATCCTGCTATATCAGCTTCTTGTTAAAGATTAGACTTGCTCCAAATTACAACTTAAATCATTTATCTGCTTTTAGATCAGTAATAGTTACTATTGGCGACTGTCAAGCCTTTGAGTCGCCGAGCAGCTGAATAGGGGAATAATGTTGACGCGCCCGCTGTTTAAAACGTTAGTCCAAGTTAAAACTCCTTTATTTGTTGTCAAATCCTTAAAATCCGTAGAAAATGGTGAACAAAAACATTCTAAGCTTGAGCGGTCAGCAAAAGTCGACTTCCCCCATCACCCACTCATTCACAAAAATTCCCTCGGGACGTGAACAGGTGATATAGCAATCACTATTACTATTACTATTACTATTACTGACACCACGTCACCCAAAGCTACGCCTATCCACAACATTCCGGCCCTTAATTATTACATTCTTACAGTAATAATTACACATGTAACACCATAACTCATGACACACACTTCATCACATCACAGACACCCAGTGAGACAACATAACATACTCAAAAGTCCACCAAAGTTATTTTCTCATGTCTTCTCTTCTTTTCTTCTGTCTGCACATGGTCAGTCAGTCATAGGTCAGAGGTTACCAGCACTTAGCCTAAATATAGTCAGTCTGTGATGTACATCTCATAACATTAAAGTCAATTCAAAGTTAGTTATGTCACACTGTGTCAAAATGTCATAGTCATGGGTCAGAAGCCTCCTGAAGAAGGCATACCTTTGTGACGGGTCTGCACACATGGCTGGTTGGGGTCTTAATCCAGACCTGACGCACAAGCCCCTTTTCATCTGGTGCAGCTCCGGTGACTCTCCCAATGATCCAGGAACCGCGAGGTGCAGAATCATCCACTATAAGGACCACATCTCCAGGAACAACGTTGCGTTTAATCCTTCCCCATTTCTGGCGCTGCTGAAGTTGTGGCAAGTGCTCTTTAGTCCATCTTTTCCAAAACAGATCAGATATATATTGAACTTGCCTCCATCGTTTACGTGCGTAGAGATCGTCCCTCCGGAACAGGCCAGGTGGTAAAGACGGGTTGGACTTGAGAAGAAGGAGATGGTTTGGTGTTAAGGCTTCCAAATCATTTGGATCGGTGGATTCCAGCGTAATGGGTCTACTGTTGAGGATTGACTCCACTTCACAAAGAGCAGTTTGGAGCCCTTCCTCGTCCAAATGCTTTGTTTGGAGAGTGGAATTAAGGACCTTTCTGACAGAACGAATCAACCGCTCCCATGCTCCGCCATGATGCGATCCAGTTGGAGGATTAAAGATCCATTTCACTCCCTTCAAAGACACAGCAGCAGAGATCTTTTCATGATTCCACTGTTCCATAGCTCGTCTCAGCTCGCGCTCTGTGCCCACAAAGTTAGTCCCATTGTCCGAGCGCAGTTCTTGTACCTGACCTCGTCTTGCGATGAAACGTTGTAAGGCGTTAATAAAAGAATCGGTGTCAAGAGATGAGGCAACCTCAATATGTACTGCTCTAATTGCCAAACAAGTAAAAATAACACCATACCACTTCACAAGACTTCTCCCGCGCTTCACTTCAAATGGACCAAAATAGTCCACTCCAACAAAGCTAAATGGGGGTTTCTCAGGGGTCACTCTGCTTTCAGGCAACTCAGCCATCTGCTGCTGGCCTGCAGCTCCATGAAATCTTCTGCAAGTCACACACCTCGACATGATGATTTGGAGACGAGAAATTTCTTCGGCATATCTTTTCCTCTGACAGAACTTAATTATTTGCATCTCAGCATCCTCAATCTCTCCCAATGAAAGAAAGCCATGCCGGAAATCAACCTTACGTTGGGCATCTTCAGACTGAATTGCATCAGATGCAGACTGGAAATGTTTCTTCTTGCGATGCAAAAGCAATGTCTTGAACCTCAAAATCCAACCCATCACCCTGATGAGATGAGTCCAGGATGAGGCACGATGGATTAAAAGGGTCAGAGGATGATCATCATCGTGTGCTTGTAAGACCTCGATGGCAGCAGCCACCTTAACTTCAGGATCTTCATGTGGAAGTTCTTGCAAGTTTTCTGGGTTCACAGGCCAATTGTTCTCTGGCTGTGTAAGAAATGCAGGACCAGATATCCATTCAGTGTCACGTAAAAAGGTCTCTGCCTTCATACCTCTGGAGGCAAGGTCCGCAGGGTTATGTGTGGTGTTCACATACCTCCATTGGAAGGCACTAGAAGCCTTGAGGATTTCTGACACTCTGTTCGCCACAAAAACACGGAACCTGGAAGTCTCATTGTTTATATATTTCAACACTGCGGTGCTGTCCGTCCAAAAGACAGAGTTTAGGAGAGGTAGTCTCAGCTCCCTCCTCCACATTCTATCCATGCGAACCGCTACCACTGCTGCCGTCAATTCCATGCGAGGGATTGTGACTGGTTTTAAAGGTGCCACCCTGGATTTTCCCATTATAAAGGAACTGTGCGTCTGTGAGCGACTGTTGTGCAGCAACAGGTAGGTAACAGCCCCATAGCCCTTCTCACTCGCATCTGCAAAATGATGCAACTGAGCAGTGGTCGTCTGTCCAAAATCAGAAGGTTTTAAACATGCTGATGTTGTTCAACAGATGCAATTCTTCTACCCAGCTTTTCCACTCTTGAGCAACTGCTGATGGTATAGCATCATCCCA